CCTTTTTCGACACTTGACTTGGCTAACAAGTCCTTCTTCCTTTCCTTCTTCCGCATTTTTCTCCCCACACATCTTCTCACTTTAATTCTCAGACACACGCGCTTCCTATCCCCTTTCAATTCACCAATTCTTGGCTTCCATCACGTCTTCATTAACGTCACACTTAGCTTTATTGCACTTCATTCTTCGTATCCCCATTCACCACAATCACACCTCATGCATGCATACATGCAGCAGAGCAGATCCTCTTTTTACTAGAATCAAGAGATACTGTGTTAGTTATTTTTCCATTTTTTTGGTGTCTGTTTCACGGTTGGTGTTTTTTTCTACGCACATCGCTCCGACATTTGCTCACAAACATCAGGTCTAGCACCGCCACCACAGTGGCCTCGCCTCCTGCTCTGACTTACACCAACAGATCGGGTGACCTGAGCCAACACTTGGCTCATTTTGCAAGCAGCACCACTCATCAACCCTCCCACTCCACGTCTATTCATACCACAGTTGACAAGTGGTAGAGATGAAGTCAAAGAAGGGAGGATAACATCTTCCACAACTGTGTGTGTACAAAATTCGTCCAATCTGCACGTCGTTTGTGAAGTGAAGACACCAAGTCGGACAAGGCCTAGTGGATTGGGTCGTGGTGACGAGCAGTTGCCTTCGTCTCACTTCTGCTACCACAGTATAGGCAGTTTCAGATCCTTGAAGCCACCCGTTTCTCGATAACGCCAGTAGGCGGAGTTGAACTCGAACGAGGAACCGCGCTTCTCTACGTTTGCCAACTTCGGCTTTTGGCTGCAGGAATAAATGAAGACGCAAAATAGTGATCAATGGAAATGAGGACTGCTATGACAAAAGGTGACAAAAAGGCACCTACTTGAACCAAAATGGCTTCCACGCGTTACTTGCATCACCATCTCGTGAGGTGTAGAGCTTCAATCGACGCCGTTGCTCGTCTTCTAGTCGCTTATTATCCGCCTCAGCGTCCTCAACTCGGCCCAACTCCAACAAGCGGATGTCCGAGCGTAGACGTGTGTCCGTGATTGGCAGATGACCAGAGGAAACTGCATCAGGTGGTGGAGGCTCGTTAAGCTCGATTGCAAATCGTGTGAACCCGTAGTAGCAATGCGCATTCGACGGCAGTAGATCTGTTAATGTGCAAAGACGCCATCATTTAAAGCCGTGAAAAAGAAAAATCAGAAGGAGGTGGAGGAGGAGGAGGAGGGGTCAAATTATCCTCGTGTTTAGATAGGAAACAGCAACCCACTGGCCCTCCAAATGCAACGATCCTCGTTGTTCTCGTCGGGGGAAACAAGTATTTGATCCCATCGTCCGTAGAGAAGGCGCTGCGACTCAGGCGATCCAAGTGGTGGTTTAATGGTGCCGTAGACACTTCGATACACCTCCTGACGACGATTGTCGGACTGAGAAGAAAAACAACAACTGATTTGCCAATGGAAGCCGCCGGAAAGCATTTAAAGTTCGTTTCTTTCTTTTTTTTACCTTCTTAAATCAAGAAAAATGTGAAAATTTGGTACCCTCTGCAAATGTCAATCTGCCTTAGTGACATTTACGGATTCTCACCACTTTGGCGCAACTAGAAGGACATGTTTAATGAAGTATTGAAGAGCTCATTCATTCAGCCGCACAACTTCACCATTGCAACAACGGCAAGAGAGAGAGAGAGAGACGAAAATGGCGTGACAATGTGACAAATGAAGTTGACTTAAAGCACACGTCACATGGTGAACTGCAATGTGGAGAGCAGGTAAAATTAGAAGGAAAAAAAAGAGAGAAACATTTTTAATGCCCTCTTCCACTAGAGACAAAAAAAATATGACTCTTTCAATCAAATGAGGATTTGCGGAGTTGGTGGTCATCACTCTTTTGCTACTGAAATTGCGAATTTGGCCCTTTGATGAGTATCAACTTCACCTTGCGAAAGTGGATGCTACTGGTGACTCCATTGGAGCACTCCACGATCATGTCACCGGTGTGATCCAACGTGCGACCTGTGGGCGACACCAAATTGGTGACTGAGGTGGTGACTTTGTTCCATGTGTACGTCTCTCGCCACCTATGAGAAGGCAAAAAAGGAATGCCATTAGATCCCACCTTCAATCCACAATCTCTACACCATTGGCCTTGCACCGTTTCGGGGATCACGAGAGGGTGAGTGGACTGATGTGGGTGGGTCAAAGTTCACATCACCCCTACAGTACTGAGTCCTACAGCCTTACCGAGGCAAGTGGAGTTGACACCCGCCTGTAGCATTGATCTCCAGAGTTTTGCCCCAAAATTTGTACTTTATGCCAAATTCCTGATCGTATGTCCACAATTTGGATTCGCAGTGGGCCACCGCAACTGGCGGAGAGTTGCTCACCTACACAGCATACAAAAAGCAGGCATCCATGAGGCGATTGCTCTTTTTTTTT